TTTAAAAACGCTCTTTCCGGGGGGGGGGGGGTCAAATATGTAGAGAGCCTTCTAAAACCGCTAGAGCTGAGATCTAACAAAGCAGGGAGGTAGCAGAGAGATTAGTGCGGGAGCAGGACGCGCACCGAGGCTGTGCCCCGAAGATCTGTCTCTTTCGGCTAAGGAGGAAGGGAGCCACAGGCCTGGTTTCCCAACTGGCTCCTTGCTGGGATTTAAATCCCGTTTGAACTACAGAGGTGGTTCCGAACCGGTTCACACAGCGGTTAGCGAACCCGCTTCCCTCCAGAGTAGGTCTACAAGCTCTGTTACCCCGGATCTGCGTGTGCGGTTGAAAGTGTCTCAGCCCTGACTCACTCCTGGTTAATTTCATAAGCGCGCGGCTGCAACCTCTCGGGTTTCTCTTTCTCTTCCGGACCCCGGCCACAGGACAGCCCTGCCAGACGGGAATACAACCCCAGCGCCCGAGAGGCCAGGAGCTGAATAAAAGGCAAAGAATGAAACGATCTCCCCTTAATGCCTCGCTCTCATTTACTTCCCTGTCCGATCTGCCTGACACAAACTTCCCTGACTCCCTGGCGCTCAGGAGGGAAGGGATGAAAAACAAAAGGCAAGAATGGCCAAGGTGAACTCCACACAAGTCACTTAAAAGTTTAGTTAAGCCTTCGCGCTAGGCAGGTGGGGATGTAGTGTCCGGGTGCCAGCACGAAGAGCGATTTTTTTCAGAGGGTCTTTCAATGCCTTATAAATCGCCTTCTGCGCGAAAATAGCAAACCCGTTTTCCTCCAGCCTGTCATTTCGCCGGGGGGGAGGGGGGATGAAATGCAGGTTTCGCTTTGAAAAAGTGACTCCAAAGAGAATGATCTGGCTAGTGGGTCTGCGCGAAAATAGCAAACCCGTTTTCCTCCAGCCTGTCATTTCGCCGGGGGGGAGGGGGGATGAAATGCAGGTTTCGCTTTGAAAAAGTGACTCCAAAGAGAATGATCTGGCTAGTGGGCCCAGCAACATAGGGATCACCTTTCCCTTTGGGGGCGCTTACTGGCCACGCTTTTCCATTTGTTATGTCTTCACCTTACCCAGCTGCACTTAAAAAAACCGCACACCCCCCTTCCGTACCTTGGGAGTTTTGCGGGGTGCAGTGCTACAAATCCTGATTTCGGCTATTCCCTGGCGCCCTAAGCAGGGCTGAAACAGACACAGATACCCCCATATTCCCCTCCCCAAATAACCCAAATTCTCCTTCCTTATCTAAAGCGTGAGCTTTCTGGCTGGCGCGCCCGGTGCAGATCCAGGCAGCCCCGACCAAGCGCAGGGCAGGAGGGGAAGGGAGGAAGAAACGGCAGGGCAAGTACCTTTCCTTCGCCTCGGCTGCTCGGTCCCGCTGCCTCCTGTTTTTAAACCAGTTGCTGACCTGGGTGGTAGTGAGGCCGGTGGCCTCGGCCAGCTCCCTTTTCTCGCGGGGCGAGGGGTAGGGGTTGTGCGCGTACCACTCCCGCAGCACGCCCCGGGACTTCTCCTTGAAGCAGTAGCTGGTCTCCTCGCCGTCCCAGATGGTGCGGGGCAGGGGGACTTT